CAGCTCATTCTAAGGTAACAACAACACAACATTTCTTATATTTATGTGATTATACACTAATGAAAACATACCTATCAATATTATATTCCATTTCTGACAATAGATCCTCCTAAATGTTACACACTGGACAATTAAAACAGGTTTATTTTGATTTTGGATTGAGATACTTGTAAGTGGATAGCCTTCAGGTTTTTGCTTTAAGGCTTCTTTTATCTTTGACACCCGTTAAAGTTCATAGATAGCATAATAGATGACAATGTTAACAGTAAATTAATTGGCACAAATTAATAACTTGTGAACACAAATTAAGAAACATTTGAACCATCATACCTGCTGGAGTCTGTATGTTTCAGCCACAAATGTCTGCATGCAGTTAGCCTCTTTAAATGCTAGCTTCTACTTCTACTCATATTTTCTGCAGAAAACTGGTACTGCTGAAGACTTCCAACATGGCTGCCAGAGGGTGTTGCATTACCCCAAAAGCCTTCGATATGCTGAATGAAGGTGACAAAATCCAATCCACTATGGACTGGAACAGTACTGATAGTTTCCTCCTCTATGCTTATTGCTGGTGGCCCCAGGCTGGTGGCAGACAGCCAGATAGCTTGCTGGTGCCGTCAGGCTCTATCTGAAGGTATTTGAACCTCCATTGATAAAGCTAGTAGTGGCGGGACAGTCCAGGCCACTGCACTGTGGATCTCATCCAAGGCCGATTCCTCAGACCACATGAACCAGGGTCCAAGTCCAAGTCACCCACTACAGAGACCAGGCTTGGAGCGTCCTGCTCTTTCACACAAGAGCATGTGTGTGTATTACAGATAGACACTATTATTTGCAATCAGCCCACACAGCTGCAGTTGGCCGCCGAGAGCCACTTAATTGTCTGCCATGTAGTCTGGGTATCCATGAAGGACACAGTCTCATAGCGGATAGGCCGACAGCAGGGGTGACTGCTGACATTCTTGCCGGAGATGCTCCCATTGGCCATCAGAGCCTTGAGGGCCAGGTCATAGTTTTTGCGGGAGCTGTGGCATGTGCCAACACAGTACTTAAAGAGGACTATCTCATCTGAGTCGTAGCCGAGGCCGAGATCCTTCACCCGCATCTCCTTCCTCTCCAAGTGGCAGTCACGACTGTTCTTGGTCTTTTTGCGGTTCCTCTGTGACATTCTGGGTAAATTTGGATTACGAGGGGAGCGCCGCCATCTGCTCTGCTGGATTTCCTTTCCCTGCATCAGTGACCATTCCTCTACAAGAAAAAGGAAACGCACACAGAACACCTAGTCAATTATTTGTCTCCCAACATGCAAGTATTATAGCTCCTGTGTCTAGTATTTGAATATTTCTGACTTCTGTGGTGACTTCTGTGGTTTCGAAAACGCAGGGGATCAATATTTAATGTACCCTTTAATAAGTTATTCATGCCACTAGGGGTCTCTCACATCAAAACATGTAAAACACAAAAATGTAGTTTGGTGTTGTCATGAAGTAGTATTGGATCATGGGATTTTGTATTGTCTTCATTGTTAAACAACCACTGCTAAAAATCTGTTTATAAATTGAAGGCGCAAGAAATGCAAAAATGGGCATTCCATAATACAAGTCAGGCTATAAATCAATAATTGTTCTTGTCAAAACTAAACTGGCAGCATTTGTTTCATAAATATGTTGTGTGTATTATAGTGTGTAAACAGTAGTATACGTGTGTAAATTTTGTTCATGTACATGAACTGTTTTGACGGTCTGTGTTGGCTTCAATCCCAGAATCGCTGCTTGCAGCTATAATACACATTTGCATCCATTAGTAAGAAAACATTTTGATTAGTGTAGCTTTAAATATATTACAACTTCTATTAAAATCACCATTCCGGTCTCTAGGGCAGGATATTAATGTCAAAGTCACTCTTTTTGATGAGGTAATATTTCACACAAGAAAGTCATTAGTAATGTGGATGGCTAGAAGGTAACATTTATGTTTATTTTACTTACTGTACTGCAGCCTGTATGACTACACACAATATAATAATATAACATCCCAAGAAATATCAGAACTAAACTGTAGTGCAGCTGTAATTGCAGCTGCATCATGGTATAGGTATACTCTGCTAACTGGTTAAGATAAGATAAGATAAGATAAGATATGCCTTTATTAGTCCCACAATGGGGAAATTTCAAATATAAATAATAACAGGGGAACAAGCTTGAGGTATCAAAAGTTCATCTTGTATTACTTTTATGTACACAGCTATGTGTTAAAGAGCTCTATTCCACTCAAATTCCTGCTGTATGAAAACACATTTGGCATGTCAACACTGGTTAGTTAAACTCCCTCATCTACAATATCCTGGATGATGGTAAACTGTATCAGAGAGATGAAGAGGAGGACACTGTTTTTATTTCTGCATGATAGCAACAACCAGGTGTCACAGACACTGACTGGAACTGTTGGATTCAGTGAAAAAAAAGAAGTCAGAAGAAGGTGTCAGTCGACATATATAAAAATGGACAAAATGACAGCCCCCGAAAAGTGAAGGCAAAACCTCTCAGTCGCCCCCTGGTGTCTGACTGCAGTATAGGTCAAGAACCGCACCCCTTCCATGTTAGCAGATGGGACATGGGCCAATGGGCTGGATGAGTTTGGTTTTAATTAGTAATTTGAAGCTATAAAAAAGTGGTCAGCTGGGTGTATTCAGAATCAGAATCAGAATCAGAATCAGATATACTTTAATAATCCCAGGGGGAAATTACTTTACAAGACTTCGCCAACCCCGATCACTACTGGCTCTGAACAGCACTCAGTTTTCACTGCTTATGAACTTGGAATATCCTTGGAATATATCTGTCTGTGAGAACTATTCCTAAAAGCTCTTCTCTTCAGATCATGAGCACAGACCACCGACAGATTATCTGTAGAATTAGCACAACAAAGAATGAAGATTTATTCAGTCATAAAACAAGTCAAAGTAGATAGAAAGATAAATCACCCATCATCCATCCATCCATCTAATTTTTCATTTGTCATTTAATGGTCCCATATTGTAGAAAGTAAGATTGCCATTTTGTGATTAAAGCAGGTCTAAGTGATATTTAAATATTGTTAAAGTATCATAATGCTCAATCCACTGACAAATGCATACATTTCATGTTCAGAAACTGTGCCTTGAAACGAGGGTCAGGACTTTGTGATGATGTCACAACTATACAGTCACTGCCCTCAGCACGGCCCACCCTGACCAACCGCCCAGGTAGTCTACAATCTGTTTGTTATCTGTGGTTATCAAAAGTCAAATAAAACAAAGAAATGTTTTTTTTTATAAATGGTAAAGGCTACATTTCTATAGTGCTTTTATCCAATGCACTTTACAAGGTATTTATCGCTCATTCACCCATTCATGTATACACAGTGGCAGTGAGCTACCACACGGTGCTGGCCTGACCATCTGAAGCAATCTAGGGTTTAGTATCTTGCCCAAGTACACCTCAACATGTGGACATGTGGGGCACAAACTGCCAACCCTGTGAGCCACATCCCCAAGGTAATTTTTAAATGTAACCAAAAAAATTAATTTGACACAAAATCTTTTTAAAGTTACAAACAAATTAAAGTAACCTGAATTATTATTTTAATTGAATTGAATTTAAAATGTTTTAATTTATCTGATCTAATTTAATCTAGCATAATCTAGTTCTATTTCATAGTCCTATGTATTGATTTTACATTGACTGGGGCAGACCAGTCACCTGTCAACCATTGACTGCAGACAGAGTCATTTAACTCAGAAACATGATATCATGATCTGTTCTCTCAGGGGTTCTGTCTGTCCCTCAGTAAAAGTTGCTTCCAGCAGCTTTGTGATTAGCTTTTAAGAGGAAATCTTTGCTAGGAGTTTTTCACGCTATTTAGGAGGACTGCTGGTGGTTTGTGAATACAGCCACAGATGTCTGCTCTGGCCTTTAGAGAAAGGTGAAAAACTTCTCACACTTTAGTTTATGGACTAGATTAGAATGGACTTTTATGAGCCAGCAGGCGAGAGCATATGTGATTAAATTGAAAGCAGACATTGGTGGTGTATCATTGGCGGGAGTAGAATTCCTCTGGTTATCAGCTGAGTGAAAATGTACTAGATTCAGGGTCATTACCAGGGGAGCTGAGCGGCTGGCTGAAATCCAACAGGAGCTTTCTCAGTTACCGGGAACATTTTAAATAAGATTTACCCACTGGGCTGTGCAGACCCGGCCCAGGTGTTTGACTGATTTCTACATCCTGACCTGGGGACTTTGCCCTGCACTTTCTCTAAATGCCTCCACACAGTCATTTCCTAAGGGGATGATTATTACCACTGTAGAATGCTCATTTACAGTAACATAGGTGCTTGTCAGTTCATACCTGCATATATGCTTTCCTTAGGCAACATTATTAGGAAACACTCCATAACTTTCATTGTTATGCAGATGATACACAGTTATATCTATCGATCAAGCCCGATGAAATTAATCAATTATCTAAATTACAAACATGTCTTAAGGACATAAAATCCTATGGGCTGAGCAATTTTCCGATGCTTAAACTCCCCAGAAAAAAACACCAACCATTTTTTTTCTCTGTACTTGCCCAACAAACCTCCAGAACTCACTGTCCTACAAGATATACTTACCTCTGATGGTTATTACCTTGCCTCTAGCAACCCAACCTGTCAGAATCTTGGAGTTTCCTTTGATCAGGACATCTTCATTTATAATTCCACCACATAGTACTCCTACTTACCCTCCCTAAAACACTGCGTTCCTCCTGAATGCCAGGGCCTACTTGTGGTTACGTATAGTCTCAAAAAGTCTTTAGAAACCCAGCGAGGCAGAGCCCTTACAGTTACCAAAGCTCCTCTCCCCCTGCGTGAACCCAGCTTCCAAAGTTGTGTTCTCGGCGAGCCAACACACCCTCTCCAACATTTAAGAGCTAAGGCTTAAGACGTTCCCTCTTTGATAAAGACTTATAGTTTAGGCTGGCTCAGTGAGTTCCTGTACACCAATCCCTCCTATTAGTATTGCTTGCGCTATTAGCCCTAGAACTATCGGGATTTCCCATTGCATGCAACTGAGTTCCTCTCTTCCTCTCCCTCTCCCTTTCTGCACCCATTTCATGTCCCATTATTATGCATGTTACTAACTTTCAACTTCTTCCCTCTGGAAGTTCCCTTGTGCCTTTCCTCATTGCAGGTTCTCCATAGATCTTTGTGGAGCCACCCCCCTCTGCCATGGTTCCTGCTTTGACCTCCCCATTGCTAATCATTAACTGATATTATCCTTTATTATTATTAATTACTATTATATATTACCTACAGAATACCTGTTATTACTATTAACCACCTGCTCATTGTCCCCCATCTGTTGTTGTCGTCACCCATCATAATCTTTGTCATGTTCATCATCCAGTCACTACTATTAGTTGCTTGCTATACTGTTGTTGCTTGTGTAACCTTCTGTCTGTCTGTCTGTCTGTCCTGTTATGTCTGTCTGTCTCCTCTGTCGTCCTCTCCTCCTCTTTTTCTCTCTCTCCCCTCTCTCTCCTTCTCCACCCCACAACTCCTGGTTCGAGGCAGACGACCACTCCCACCTAGAAGCCGAAGGCGTCTGTCCTAGTTTCTGCCTCTTCAAAAGCCAGTCTTTTCCTTTGCCGCCAGTTTGCCCCCAAAGCCTTTGCCTTCCATGGTGTAACTGTCTGGGTCTCTGCTAAATATATGTTATAAGGATTCTGTTTTCCTAGACCTGCTCTTTATTCTGAAAAGTGCTCCTTGATGATAACTTCTGTTATGAATTTGGCGCTATTAACAAATAAAATTTATTGAATTAAACTGAATTGAATATTTTCCCATCCCAAAGCAAGATTTGGAAAGAGTTACTGAAAATCTTCTGTATTGAATATAGAAACCTGAAGCCCCACCAGTGCTACATTCAATTCAATTCAAGTTTTATTTCATCAAGGTCTTCGACCAAAAGAACAATCCTTATAGCATTATTACAGAGACCCAACAGTTCTTTTCCAACCACTTTGCAAGCACTTTGGTGACGGCCGGCCAGAGAAAAACAAAACGTCCTTTTAAAGAGATCCAGAAACTCA